GTGAGCTGTAAGAGGTATGGTGAGCTGTAAGAGGTATGGTGAGCAGAGCTGGAAAAAGGTATTGTGAGCTGTAAGAGTTATGGTGAGCTGGAAAGCGGTATGGTGGGATGGCAATAGGCATGATGAACTGGCAGGAGGTATGGTGAGCTGGCAGGAGGTAGAGTGAGTTTGTAGAAGGTAAAGTGAGATGGCAGGAGGTAGATCGAGTGAGCTGGCAGGAGGTAGAGTGAGTTTGTAGAAGGTAAAGTGAGTTGGCAGGAGGTAGATCGAGTGAGCTGACAGGAGGTAGATCGAGTGAGCTGGCAGGAAGTAGAGTGAGCTTGTAGAAGGTAAAGTGAGCTAGCAGGAGGTAGATCGAGTGAGCTGGCAGGAAGTACCTCCTGCCAGCTCACTTTACCTTCTACAAGCTCACTCTACCTCCTGCCAGTTCACTTTACCTTCTACAAGCTCACTCTAGATCGAGTGAGCTGGCAGGAGGTAGAGTGAGCTTGTAGAAGGTAAAGNCCCAGATTAGATCAAGTGGAGCGCTGGTAGGATGGTAGAGTAACGCTTTGTAGATATGGTAAAGTGAGGTGGGCAGGTAGGTAGATCGAGTGAGCCTGGCCAGAGGAAGTAGAGTGACGCTTGTAGAAAGGTAAACAGTGAGGGGCTGGGCAGGAGGTAAAAGTCGAAGGGTGAGCTGGCAAGGGATGAAGTAGGGTGAAGCTTGTGGAAGGTAATAAAAAGTGAGCTGGAAAGAGGTGCCAGTGAGCTGGTAAGACAGGCTATGGTGATTGGTAAGGTAGGTAGATCGACGTGAGGCTGGCAGGAAGTAGGAGTGAGCTTGTTAGAAAGGTATGAGAAGTGAGCTGGAAAAGAGGTAGAGGTGAGCTGTCGAAGGTTAAATAGTGAGGCTGGGCAGGAGGTAGATCGAGATGAGCTGGCGAGGGGCCGCAAAACTGCCAGGGGGGGGGACGAAAGGGGGAATGTTTCAAGAGGGCGGGACATCCAATATCAATATGTCCCCCCACACCGATTTTGGATGCACCAAGATTTTGTGTTAAGTGTGTGCGGCGCGCAGCGGCGGGCGGTCGTGTGTGGTGTGTGTGTTTCTGAACCATCGAGGAAGCTTTTTTATTGTGTGTGATAGTGGCGTCAACGATTTGGCTTCTGTCGCCGCGCTTTTTCTGCCAGCTTCATTTTATTCCAAGTGCTTTGAGGGGCATAATAAGATCATTGGCACAACTTTAAGAAAAAATGTGTCTCTGATAAATTTGTGTACCCGTTCTTCTTTTTTAACAGGACGTGTTGTTTTTTCTTAAATGATTAAATAATTCCTTATGGCATGGAAATCATCACAGCAGAAGTATTTAGAAAAAGTTGCTAAGGAGATTTATCACGTCAGCATGCTCAGACACTGATTCAAGGATTAGAGCTGGGAACACCGAGCTATATTCCACGGATCAAAGAGGACACTGAGTAACTGAGTGCATCGGTTTTAATAATGTACTTTTCCATTGCAAATTGAATGATATATATACCACGCATATATTGATATGACTGGACGGCCAACAAATAACTAACGGCCCAATATACTTTTGTGATCGCAGGCCTCAAGCACCAAAAGATTGGTTTTTCCTGGCTTTGTTTGTTTTCTTGATTTTATGACTGGCATGTGGGACAGCCCTTCTCGTAATCATTTATCAGCAAACGGCAAATGCCGTGTGGCGTGTGCGTGTGCGTGTGGGCGTGTGCGGGCTGCGGGTGCGTGTGCGTGTACGTGTGGGTGTGGGTGTGGCGTGTGCGTGTGCGCGTGTGCGTGTGCGTGGTGCGTGTGCGGTGTGCGTGTGCGTGTGCGTGTGCGTGTGGCGTGTGCGTGTCGCGTGTGGCGGGTGTTGTGTGTGTGTGTGGTGTAAAGGGGCCGTGTACAGTGGGGGGGGGGACCGAGGGGGTCGGATCGCCGCCCCTACTGGCGCTGCGAGAAAACGTATCTAGGGTTGCTATTTCAAAAAAATTTCAATTTAGCTGCTATTTAAGTTATTAGGCTTTATTGATGTTATGTATAGTCCACGAGGATGTCAGATGGCGTAGCTAGCATTACGTTACGAGATGTTACAGAAAGCGATAGACGTGTTATTTATATTATATATCCCATTTGTAATGGTTTAGTATGAGACAGCATTGTAGTTTAGGCAGTAGAATGTCATGTCCAACAGAAGTCAATTCCCTCTCTAAATCTAAGGTAGTTTTGCACGTTGAATAGTTGCCGTAGATGTAGCAGTATTAATTGCTAATGATATATTATAATATAGTTGAACATTTTCCTTGACATTATCACTAGACCTACGCAATGTTACGTCACGCATCGTTCTATGCCGGCGTCACTCTTGAAATCCTCTGGTAGGCCTACACGATGAATTTCTCTGGTTCTTCTTGTGCCTGTACGGTGTTTGTCGGGCGCGCAGGGCGTACACATGTCATGTCAAATTCTCCTTCACATCTTGAATTTCTGTCTTGGTACGGCGCTATATAAGTTTTCTCGATTGATTACCTGGGTATCATTTCGTTAGTAAAGAACTGCGTTCTAGTATTGTCGTACATAATTATATATAGACGTTGTTTTATCGATGTATATATCGTATTATAGATATTGTACCTGCGAGAGTAGTACCAAATAGTCATTGTTATGTGTGGGTAATACTATAAGGACTAAATGTATATAGAATGAATTCACATGTGGTTTCTCACGACACTAGTATATAGCATGTGCGGCGTGTGTGCGTATAAATTATAGTGTGGAAGTTATGGAATGGTTCCTCTCTTTCTAGCCATTTTCCCCGCACTTAACTATATGTTTGGTTATTTCGACATAATTGCCTACATTCTAGTGAAAACGAAAAGGAATGGTTGCGGCCAAAATATGTACTCTAGAACCGTTTGCGTGTACGCCGATTCTGTAACACATCATTGTAGCGGAGCAGCTAGTAGCCGGCATGCACAGCAGCAAGCACACACGCACCGCACGCCACGGCACGCACACGACGCACACCAGCACACAAAACACCCACACACACACACACACACACACACACACACACACAGGTCACACGTAGTCACACACAGCACACGGCCGGCAACACACCACGACAGCCCCAACCACAACACACACCCTCCCATCGTACGTAAAAGCGCGGTCAATCGCTGAACGGTATTCGTGTTTGGTGCCTTTCCTCTACTAGCACCGAGCGATTTATTTATTTATTTATTTATTTATTTAAAGACGGTACATTTGTAACAGATAGGGCCTATGTTATGCAACTCAACATGAGCTTGCAAGCTCCTCACCGTCAGAAAACGGCAATGGACTTGTGATGGTGATCATAGCAAGGATTCAAAGTTGCAGCATGCAAACCACTGATCTCTACTATACTAACTTAGTATAGTAGAGATCAGTGATACAAACACATACACATATGTGATATAAACACATAATATATGTGATAATATATGTGATATAAACACATACACATACACATATATATACATTGTGTTTGTATATATATCTGGTCGCAGGTCGCTGTGTCGAGTGCATCATAAATATAGAATAAAGAAAAATAGGATAGGAGAATAAGAGATAAGAATATAGAAATGTGAAAATATATTCTGTATAATGACTCATATATATAATAGCAGAGCACGTGAGCACATACAAGACAACTACTTTTTCATTTTTAAAAGTGCCTGTAGGTGGCAGTGTGAACGCGGAAGTTGTAAACATGTTTTATCGTGTCCGATCAAAATGTAAACTTGAAAGCGAGAAGTTATGAGAGCTATATAATACCTGATAATACCAAGAGTACATAATAGGTACGTGCGTAGTGTACGTGTATCAATATAGCGTTTTATCACTCATGGACATGGCCTCAGTATCAACTTTCGTTTACCGGCGTCGGCAAATTATCACACGTGTGCTGATCGGAGTGTGTTTCACCCTATCTGTGATAACGTTTGTCACACACTCGGACGATCATAGCATTGGCAGAACATACACTGGCGAGAATGCTAGTAATGGTCACGTCCGCGTCCTCTCACCAATGGGAGGGTCGCCGGCTGGACCAGGAGAGAACGGAAAGAAAGTGCAGTTGAGTAAAGAACAACAACGTATAGCCGACAGCCAGTTTGAGAAAGAGGCGTTCAATATAGTTGCAAGCAACATGATTGCTTATAACAGGTCGCTGCCCGATGTTAGGGATCCCAGGTAGGATTCTAGTACTAGAACTTAGAAGACTAGAATTAAGACAAATTTCACATGGCACTTGATTAGTAACCTCGTAAATATTAGTCTTCAAAGTCCAAGGGACTATATCGAAGAATTAAGGTAGTACTAATAGTAGTACTAGTGCTGAGAGGGTCTATGTCCCCCGGGGTACTGCCGGAACGTACCCTGGGTACGGTCGCCGGTGTAACCCGGAAACGTACCCTGGTACTATGCTAATATGCCGAACCGTACCTCGTCTACTCCTCACTAACGAGTCTAGGAGTTCGCCTATCTGCCTACTCCTTAACCCGAACCCTAACCCTAACCTAACCCTAAACCAGGGTTCTTCCCCAGGATGAAATTCACACAGGGGGGAGGGGAGGGGAAAGGGCAGAGGGGGGAGGGGGGAAACTAAGGAGGTTTGGGGGGGGGCGTGTTTTTTTTAACCGTAAAAGCCACTAATTAATGCGTAAATCGCCACCTTACAGAACCATAGACGGTATTTAGGGTTCTTGTATATATTAAGATTAGCCCGAGTCGGTGTTTTCAGCTTAGTGTTTGGGTGGGACAAGGTTGAACTGTTTTGTACTTGTGTTATTAAATTGTCTGCAGTGCATTATGCCGTGGCAAGGGTAAAAATTATCACATGCCGGGTGTCCTGGTCGAATGGGAATTCTTTGACGGTTCGATTCCCCCTCGCTGGCCAATACTTTTATTGTGGTAGAATTTAATCGGGGCGGAGGTAATTTAAACGGGCTTCGCGCAACGATTGGAAGACAGGGGGGAGTTTGCGCAACGTAGGGAGAACGGCCTGTAGACCGCTAAGACCTTAACCTAAACCCTAACCATTCAAATAGTGACCAGGGACGTTCGCCAGGGGACGTTCCGGCAGTACCCTGGGGGACATAGACCCTATGAGCAGTACTAGTAGTAGCAAAATCTGATAACTATACCTCGGTCTTCCACAATACAGGCACTTGGAGCGTTTCAATAAAATATAATGCTAAATAAATACGAAATCTATTTACTACCAAAGTCTTAATGTTTCTATACTCTCTTTCACCTATTATTGCCGACAATTTCCTGTAAATGCCGTCCAAATGCTCATCTACAACAAACACTGGCTGCCGCCATTGCTGCCGCTGCACACTGACACATATATATATAGCAGGTAAGAAAGCGTGCACCAGAAATTCGCTCGACGCTAGCTGCATTTCACATGATTACAACACAAATACTCAACCTTCCGACTCCATCTTTGCTGCTAATTGAAGAACAGTGTTCACTTGTTGTAGAAATATTATGTCTCAGTTCGAAACAGAGCTGTGTCACGCAAAATCACGAATGAAATCATGGAATTCTCGCGATCGCTAGCACTGCGCACGTGATGTTAATGAACTTAAGTACATGGCTAAAAGCGGCGCACTGCATTTTGGGAAACAACAACGCTGCTTTCCGTCTCCCATGTGAGCCCCGTCAAAGCCGCCAGTGGGGCGTTGCTATGGATACTATAGACGGTGCAAAAATGACGTCACGAATACGGCCGGTAGGGGTCTCCAGATTTCGAAATTCATTAACATCACGTGCGCAGTGTTAGCGATCGCGAGAATTTCATGATTTCATTCGTGATTTTGCGTGACACAGCTCTGTTTCGAACTGAGACATAATATTTCTACAACAAGTGAACACTGTTCTTCAATTAGCAGCAAAGATGGAGAGTATTTGTGTTGTAATCATGAGAAACGCAGCGAGCGTCGAGCGAATTTCTGGCGCACGCTTTCTTACCTGCTATATATTTATGTGTCAGTGTGCAGCGGCAGCAATGGCGGCAGCCAGTGTTTGTTGTAGATGAGTATTTGGACGGCATTTACAGGAAATTGTCGGCATTAATATGTGAAAGAGAGTATAGAAACATTAAGACTTTGGTAGTAAATAGATTTCGTATTTATTTAGCATTATATTTTATTGAAACGCTCCAAGTGCCTGTGTTCCACAATGCCATTGGTAAACTAAAACTTATGTGTAGGTGTCGAAAGTTGCAGTATTCACGTGATCTGCCATCAGCCAGCATAGTGATTATCTTCATCAATGAAGCCTGGTCACCCCTCATGCGCACGTTGTGGAGTGTCGTCAACAGATCACCACTTCATCTCTTACATGAAATCATTCTGGTGGATGACAACAGTGACAGAGGTAAATGGGTCGAGGCACTCAGGTGGATTTTGACTGATTGGTTGTTTCCTAAGAGAGAGAGCTCAGTGGTCCAGTAGTCAGCATGTCAGTCCACATTTTACTATGGGAGCTGTGAGTTCAAAATACTAGTAGGGGGGGGGCAGTGAATTTTGAAAAAAAGATATAAAAACATGGCACTCAAAATTGGAGACTGTAAATCTTTCGTGGCTCCAGATGACTATGTAAAATGAAGGATCCGTCTCCAGTAGTACTGCTGTAAAAGAACCGCTAAGAACGTAGAATACTCTAGCAGTTACCATATTTAGTGTCACCAAAGACTATATATATCCAATGTATGGAACAATGCCAGGCCTAAGAAAGTAACATACCATATCGTAATGTAACATGACATGACGTAACGTAACACATAACATTACATAACGTAATTTTACATAGCATTTAACATAACATTAAATGGTTGAAAATGTGATAAAACTCATATGTTATTTGGATGCTAGTCGCACCAGAGAAAAATTCACATGTGCATGGCATGTGAATGGCAAAATGGCGAAAAGAGCTATATCATAGAGTAAATTACCCATGTTTCTTATTATACTATACTTATTTTCATCTTTGTTTCTGTCAAATCTCTGCGAATGACTGGTAATGTTTTGTTGCATCACCACCCCCAGCAAGTATTACATGGTACCATCCTGTTATGGTGTCTCTCTGCCTATAGCTGAGCTTCGAGCAAGACTAGACGTGTATATCAACTCTCACTTCACGAACGTTCGCATTCTGAGATCCAAGAAGCGCCTAGGAATCGCTAGAGCAAGAATTGCTGGTGCTGAAGCAGCGACAGGAGAGGTGGTTGTATTCCTGGAATCCCACAGCGAAGTCAACACAAACTGGTACATGCTCAGATCCCTTGCTAGCCATCATTACAGCAACTTATGATTTTATTTGTTCAAAGAACATCTAATTTTAAGTGGTCTTGGACAAAGTAATGAGAAATACCTGGCTAAACCCTACTACCCACGGAAAATAAACGGTTTCAGTCCCAAGTACACTTGAAAAACTCCTGGAAAAGCATATTGCTTTATGTGTATGAACCCTGTGAGCGTAGCTTTCATCTCTTTGTAGGCTCCCGCCTCTCCTCACTCGCATCAAAGAGAAGAAGACGGTGATCGCCGTGCCTATGCTCGACGCCATCGACTCGAACACGATGGAGTACTCGCCACAAGGGGGCATTTCCATCGGCGGCTTCTCCTGGGGGCTGCACTTCACGTGGTTACCGATCCCGCTTGAGGCAATACGCAAACGAGTGCACAGCACCGACCCCGTGCCGTAAGTTTTGTGGGGCAGGTGGTTAGAAAAGCCTTGCTACAAGGCAATATATGAGCCATAACTTCTTATTTTTTCACAATTAGTGATTATTCGGTACCAAAAATTTGCTCTTTGGCTTGGTAATGTGCTGTCGTTTCCTTAGTGCATTATACCTAAAAAATATTCTATAGATGCAGCACTCTCATTTTCTGTTGTCAGACCATCTAATCATTTCTCAGGGTCCTGGCTCTTGGAATAAAATCCTCTTCCTTTCTTAGCCGATCGTCCATGACTTTTAAGTTTTTGAGAATTGTGTGTCACATGTTATTTTATCTGGTGTCCTAATTTCAGGTCTCCGACTATGTCAGGTGGATTCCTGGCCATCAACAGGCTGTATTTCTTTGAACTGGGAGCTTATGACTCTATGATGGAGATTTGGGGTGGTGAAAACCTAGAGTTATCATTCAGGGTATGTGCATATGGTACCCACCATTAAGTTTAACTGTACACCTTTAATTTAACCATTCTCCTTTAAAATGTAATATTACAGCTACAAAATAATTGTCTGTATAAGGCTATGCCCAATGTGTTGAGTCAGCCAAATGATAGACTAGCAGCACTATGAGAATATGAACGTTATAATGTAATTTTAGGTTTATGAAACATGGAAAGCAAGCTTATCCCAAGCACCCTAACCCTAACGCAGCTTTAAATAGCATCCTTCCGACCGGCACAAAAATGATTGAGTTTGTGTGTAAAAAATTACCTTCAAAATAGTGGGCAATCTACAAATAATCACAACTGATACGCTTAGAATTAATTTAAAAACCAACACGTAAAATCATCATCTGATCACATCGTACAGCGCACAGTACATGTAGTATAGCTGGCTAAGCATTCTATTATAATAATTTATGCATATGACGCACTCACTGATGTTAGCCGGCACTAAACTTGTCCTGGCTACAACCCTGTACATAAACCTATGAGGACGTTGAGTCCCTAACAGTGTTATGGACGGCACATGTGGCTGCAAAGTTGTCAGATAGTCGAGATATCTGGTTTTTATTCCCTTTGTCGATTTAGTAAACTTGTGGTTGTTCGGTGATGGTTCCACTCACATCTTCTGCCTGCAGGCGTGGATGTGTGGTGCTTCAGTGGAGCTCATCCCATGCTCACGTGTGGGTCACATGTTCCGCAACGGTCATCCGTACAGCTTCCCCGATGGTCGTGACACTCACGCCGTCAACTCAATGCGGCTGGCTGAGGTCTGGATGGACGACTACAAGAGGCTGTTCTACAATCATCGGCGTGAACTGAAGGTCAGTCGAATATTTTCTAGGTGTGTGCGTGCCTAACTGGTTGTGTGTCAGATATCCAAGTGAGTGAGTGCCTAACTGGCTGTGTGTAAGATACCCAAGCGAGTAAGTGCCTACCCAACTGTGTGTAAGTTGTCTAGGTAGGCCAGCTCGTACTTAACTGCTGATGGGTTATCCAGATGAGCGACTGTCCACCGAGCTGTGTGCAATTTATCTAAGTGAGAACATTCATAGCCGGCTGTGTGTGCGTCATCCGGGTGAGCAAATAGGGACTGTCCAGGAAACTAACTCAACTCTACAGTTTGTTTCAATACCCCTCATTATATGGCATGCATAAATTTGCTTGAAAACCATCGATATTATGCTTTTTATGTTGTGATTGATAGAATGAAATTGATGAATATAGAATGATAGATCTTCTATAGATTAGATTAGATATTTTATCTTTGCAGATAACTGTGGTACATCAATAATATCATTTCATTTAATTATTTTTGTAATTAATCCCTTGTTTGTTTCTTGGTACAACAGAGTTCAGTCAACTATGGTGACATATCTGAGCGAAAGAAGCTGCGCGAGAAGCTGGGATGCAAAACCTTTAAGTGGTACCTAGAGAACGTCTACCCTCAGAAGTTCATACCTGATGAGCATGTGTTTGCACATGGAAAGGTAGGAGCTGGCTTGGCATATAACACAGTTCATTCTTTGTGTGATGTTTTTCTGCAACTACTATACTACCATTATAAATATGATGTAAAAATGTGTGTTACAGTAATTAATATTCTACACTTGTTTACTACAGTCAACTTTTGAAACTATTATGTAAAGTTGCTAAGAAAACTATTCAATTTTTAAAACGTTTTATTATTATTGCTAATAATGATTATGCAGTTATCGAAATAAATATATTCTAGAGTTTCTGATTGTTCGTCACTAGGCTTGGAATTGTTCTATTTCATCTTTTGTGTTGTTGTTTTATCCACTGCCTTCCTGGAAACTCGCTTTGTTTATTGTTTTCACTTTCATTGCATGTTCCGATTTTCATTTTTCAGATCATCAATAAGGGAAGTCGCTTATGCATTGACACATTGGGGAATGATGAGCGGGACAGTCCTATACTCGGTCTCTTCCCCTGTGAGCAGAGCAGTGAGAACCAGGCAAGTGTTGTATTCCCATTTCTTTCTTTCTTTTTCCTTTTTCCTCTTCTCCTTCTCCTTCGCCTTTTTACTTTTCTTCTACTTATTTTGTTTTTCTTCTTCCTCTTTCTACTCTTCTTTTTCTTCTTTTTTTTCTCTCTTCTCCCTCATCATATTCATCTTCTTTTGCACTGGTTTTCCATCATCTTGGTTTCAAGTCTTATTGATTGTTGAGTTAACTGTAAATTGATCCCACCAATGCAAACAGCTTAAAGGGCTGTTGCACCTGCCATAACCTTACTCCTTGTTAAGCTCTGGTGACCGTGCCAAAAATTGTCATATTTATCTGAACGAAGTCGCACGCCTACTTTGATATTGTTGCTAGGTCCGATAAGATAGGCCATGATCGGCACGTATTTCACGCATACATGCCAAGTTGTCGACATTGCGGAACTTTGTTACTAAACAGTTGTTTAATACATCCCCCAATAATCATTACTCTGATTGGTTAGAGCTACCCGCCAATTTCTCCAGACGGATCGGTCAATTGAAAAGGTTTTTTACAAAGATAGGCAGACGTTGTTAAGGTTTATTAATTCATAGAGGGGCAATGTTATTTCCTTGCTGATTTTAGGCGTTTTCTGTGAGTGAGCAGTCGGAGATAAGGAAGGAGGACTATTGCTTTGACGTCTCAACACGAAATGAAACTGTTCCTGTGAAATTGTTTGATTGTCACGGAGCCGGGGGAAACCAAGTGTGGGAATTCAAACTGGTGAGTTATTCATGATAGTGATCATTAAAGTTGGCTTGTTTTCTAGTAACACATAACTAGATTGTGTACTAATGGGTTTTAGTAAGTAAAATTATGTCATTCGTGTTAGCAGTGGCAAACTTCCTTCCAGGATTGGAATGCTTTGCAGTATGTAGGAAATTCTAGGGGTAGTTCGATGCACTCGTATTGTGCTGTCAATGCACAACTGTGCCTGTTTGTTTTAAAAGCTCATTTTTACTTGTCACAGAATGGTGTAATCGTCCACAAACTTACGGGAAAGTGTCTAGACAGTGCTGTGCCAGAGCCCCCTACTGGTGAGCTACGGATAGGGCCGTGCACGGGCTCAGCGACACAGGAGTGGATAATTGAGAATCCTTCTACAGAGTTTAAGAGAATGCTGATACATCGGTGACCGACTACAGTGTGACTCTTTAGCGTTGGAACCGTGATACCAAACGAAAGTTGGAAGGTTTTTCCCACGTCTTGCAGCTAACATCTGCCTGTGTTGTCATGGCGGCACAACAAACGCTGCGCCTGGTGTCTATATTTTTAATGTAAGACTTGCGGGACTTTGGTGCTTAGACATTATATGATTTTAAGACAATAATCACAGACAACTTAATACGTCACTCACTCTAGTAACGCTCTCAACTCAGATAAACTAACAATTTTTAACTATTTGTGCTAGGTAGCTGTCTGAGTAAGTGTGCATGATAGGTCGCTGTGGTGTGATGTGGCTACTCTCAGGTATATGGTGATTGTGTGGTCATGGTTAGCATAATAAATTAGTACTGATGTCATTCACATGCACATAAGAAATCGGTCGTGAACGTTTTGGGCATGCCTGCGCTGGGCTGCGCACCGTGTGGTGTGGGGCCAGCCAACATTAGAATCTTATACATGAACATTACCCTTTTTTGGCTATTTAACATTTATTGGTTTCAGCAACCTTACATAGCAGGTTCTGTGGTGGGTGATTTGACAGGCCATGATATTTATCTTTGTTGTTCAGAGTTAAGTTAATTGAGCATGAAATCCTAGATGGAAGATATTGTGATTGGGTAGAGAAGATGCCAGCGAAAGTTCAGTTCATGAGCAGGAGGTTCTAAAATAATATGATAGTATATCAGTGTATACTTTCACTCAATGCCAACAACTTTATATGCATGAATTTTTAGCTGTTCATTTCTATCAAGTGATAGCATTTTTGTGCTTCCAATTGCTTCACCTGTGTTTTGTCCTGTTGTTTATGTGTCAGGTGAAATGACACTAAAGCCCACCCTATCTGACGGCAGCAGCCATTTGTATATAATGGATGTATGTAGTAGCCTAGTATTGCATTTAGATTTCTCATATGTAAATTCTTTATCAAATGACTAGAATCTCGGCAACTTTCTCTTGACCCTCACATTCAGTAAAGCTTTAAGGTTAGTTTGTTGAACGAGATTTGCATACATTGCAAGGTTTGTGTGAGTTTGGATATTATGGGAGTTTTGTGAGTTGTGAAAGTTTGGGAGTTGCTCATAGTGTGGTGACATTCTCTGACATAAGTTTTTATTTTTACCGTTTATACAAGAAGGTGGGGGTTTGTTTTGTTTACGACTGCTGTGATAATTAGCAATTTTATACAAGCGTAAGCTACGTGTTGGATATATTAAAGTATTGTATAGTATGATTTTGTAAGTTTGTGTGCAATATTCATGGCCTTAGTATTAAGACGTCTAATAATTAGATCATCACATCACTTAATATAGTATATGACTAGACATAATATCACTTTATATATATATACACACATTTATATATGTTCACTTCATAAGCTAACAAGTTGTTAACTATTAGAGTTATTGGCAAAGTAGAACTACCTTTGCATTTTGCCGTAAAATCGCAATAATAACGTCTCGTCTTTTACATTATATCATTCCCAAGTGTTTCGTTTTCTATAGAAAAGACGTAGACAGCAATAGAGCTTTTGCATATATAGGTTAGTGCGTGCGGGCGGGCGTGCGGGCGTGCGAGCGAGCGAGCGGGCAGCCGGTCGGGTGTGTGTGTGGGCATCTCTCGCTCACTCTTTCTCTATTTGTTTTTAAATTGATGTTGTTTTGTTTGAAATTTGTGTGTGCCCGTGCGAGTGGGTGTGCATGCGTAATCTTTCGAACTGCTCCAGAAGTATATATATACTTGTCAATAGATAGCGCCACCAATCTATTTTCAAGCGTTAGTGTCCGCCTAAAAACAAGGCACATACGTACTTACGGCTGACCTGTCACAGGCTCACGTTATCATGTCTAAAGCTGGGCCACACGAGCGTATTTTTTGGCCCGATCGCGGCGAATTTTAAAATCGCTCAAAAAATTCGCCCGTGTGCCCGTTCACGTCGACGACGATTTCGTACGCCCGTACGACGCCCGTACGGATCGCCCGTATCAAAAATGTTAGATATTTTCGGCGGATTATTTACGCCGGCGAAGATCCGCTGGCAAATTCGCTCGTCTGCCCGTGTCCGGCGTATTTTGTGGAGCGATCGATTTTTTTTAACTAGTCGGACGTGTTGTTGATATCATCTGATGCATCATGTGATCATGTGATTCCGTCGAGTGGCGTACGCGTACGCTCTCAAATTCGCTACGTGTGTCTCTTCGTGATCGGCCGTATAAATTCGCTGGCGATTTTAATCGTCGCGAGTTCGGGCGAAAAAACTCACGCTCGTGTGCCCGCAGCTATAATCGGTGAGTTCGTTGCTCGCCATCATTCTCCAGCGGCGCCGCCAAACGACGTTTAAACACTTCGTGTTTCACGCGTCGCGTGTCCATTAGTACTATATATATTATATATATAGGCTATACGGATTATATTATATTATACTTATTATATACTGTAGATGTGCATATATATTACAGTATATCCAGACGTGGACACTCGGTAATCGCTCCGTGTGTTGCGCCGCTAAATGGCCGACACAGCCGACTGGCTGGCGGAGCGGTAGCGGCCAGACTCGATCGGAAAACCCGTGATCGTCCATCGAACGGCGCCCGAACCGATGCCAAGTCTTCATGACGCGCGGCCTGGACATCAAAGCGGCGGCTGCTGACGTCACATCGTGCGCATCCCCGCTAAAACAAGCGGCATACTAGCAGCTTCTCACTCAACGCAGTGTACGCCATAGTAGGGTGTGCCTACTACTGACTAGTACTGACTACTACGTACTACTACCTATCCCTACTACTCTGCTGTCCTGCCTACTACTGCCTGCCTGCTGCTTGCTTCTGCTGCCTGCTACTGCTTGTTGCCCTACCTGCTACTGACCTGCTACTGCATACTACTACTACTGCTGCTGCTGCCTGCTATGCGCTGGCTAGGCTATTGCTCTGCTACCTGCGTGCTGCTGGCTTTGCTACTGCCTTCTATACTGCTGCTGCTGCTCGCGTGTTCTAATAAAGCAATAAGACATCGTCTGCTATGTTTCGGATCTTCTTCTCGCAGACGCGTCGCTGCGTCGGCGATGTGCGGAAGCAGCGATATAGTTCGACAGGGTAGCCATGGCAAACCAGTAATCATTATGTAGCGCATTTGTTAGTAAGTCGGTTATGAACAGAGATTATAGAGTCGTGCGCCGACGACACGCGTATGGCATCACTCTCGGCCAATGCGCGAGAAGTGTGGCGCGCTTACGAGGCTCAGTATGATCATCGCGGTGCATAGAACAACATGTTACAAACCATCACCTCTAATCCTAACCGCTAGATTTTCACCTTTAACTCTGACTAAAACTATTATATAACCTTAACCTATTACCCTACACGTGACTTTAAGCCTAACCTTTAGTTAATCCTAACCTTGAGCCTCTAACATTGCTTCCAATGATGATGGTTGCCAGTCGGTCCCCACAGCTTGTCCCGTTATACGCCGTTCGGTCTAGCCGCCATGAAATTAAAAATGTTATTTCTTAGAGTGCGTCGCCGCTTCAACGCTCAACCCTCTCTCTTTAACGACGACGTTATAGGACATGCACCCGAGCTGCGTAGCACGTGCCCACACGAGTCTTCTTAGCCGCTCGTATAGATAGAAACTGCTTCTCGCGCACCCGGTCAGTGTTCTCATCTATAGGCAGACGCGCGCGCTGGCGAGTCGGTATTCGTGGAGCGTGTAATGAGAACTTTGCGCGTTGCCACATCAATGTGTCGTGTCGCTATTCCTAATGCAGAGATGCAGATAGATGACGGAATTTCAAGACCACAATGAGAATAATTACGATTTACCAATAATTTACACGAATGATTTTATGAGTGTGTTTTATCCTTGGTGTGGTATCTAGCTGGATATATTTAACATTATGGTAGTATTGTTATATGACTGCATTACAATTGATAATAGT